TATATATATATACCAATGCGTGTGTGTGTGTTACTTTTTATGATTAAGTATTACTTCATAAAGCGTTAAATTTAAAGATAGAGAGATATTTTCATTTTCAAATGCATATTAGATAATAATTTGTTGACTAAACATAAATCGCATTTTACGCAGAGAACTCCGTTCACATCGATCTAGGGCAAAGCGTGATAAAAAGAAACGTATAATATATTCGACCTATGCATGGGGAATCACCATCATTCTCAACGTTATCTGTGCTATCATGGATTATGTTCCTGGACTACCAGAAAATTTAATCCGACCAGAAATTTGCGTAAAAAGATTTTGGTACGGCGGTAAGTGATACCACCAATCATTAACGTTGGAGGAAAATTAATATATTTCATTAAAATCTGTTGATTAAATTTCAACACAGCTTTTAATTTAAATAATGGACACATCCACATATATTATTAGTGCGTGTTAATACAAAGAATTTCTTTTCTTTTGTTTCAGAAAATGAAGCAAAAACGTTATACTTTTACCTACCCATGGGTGCTACCATTATCAGTAACATCTTTTTTTTCATCTGCACAACACTAACGATTTTGTACCAAAAAATACATACAGCCAATCAGCTGAAAGACTCGGAGAGCAACCGTCACGACGAAAATAAACAGAGGTTTATATATATAATTAAGGGCCACTTCGATTAACTTCGGTTAACTTTGATCGACGATTAGTCCATTGACCAATCGCATTTCTCATTTCACTTAACAACAGATTGGCCAATTCCAATAGACTATCCACCGATTAAAGTTAATATTTAATGTACTCGCATTTACGAAAAACTGCATCATGTGTAGTACACTGATACTAAAAGAAACGTTGTTTACTATTCTTTTTACACATTCTTAATAATAATAAACATATTAAGCTAAACAATCGTGAAAACCAATAAGCTAAATTTTAATCACAGAAAATTTCGAAATTTCTCTTAATATATTTAAGAAATATAATATTTAAATTGTTATAAATTAAAAAAGACTATTAGCCATATCAGAATCTATGAAAACAATTATATTTCATTAAAAATAAATTAAAACTATAAGACCAAACTTTATGCAAAGCTATTTATAAATGGATATACACATAATATCTGCATAATATATAGATCACTGATACTTTCCATTCTTATATAATAATTATATCAATATAATATTATTTCAAAAATATTATTATTAGAATAATGATTATACTTACATGCACGCGTGCGCGTCTTATTAATTATATGTAATTGTTTTCAGAGTTTCATATTAGTTATATTCATCTCTATAATTTATACATAATATTGAATATATTACATTTATTAAGTATTTCTTTAAAAAAATTTTGAAATTCTCTGTGAATAAATTTTTTTAATTTAGCTTACTGTTTTTTAAAATGCTCTTTCATAAGATTGTTTACTACTGTCATTAAGAAAGTGTAAAAATAATAATAAAAACATTTTTTTCATTACCTTTTTATTACCCTTAAGAGATATTTTATTATATATATTATATATATGTGTGTGTGCATTATAATTACAAACAATACAAAACTATATTTGCTCACAGGTTTAATATGTACTTGAAGCTGTTTATAGTGATGGGAATAAGTTGGGTTTTGGAGATAATAGCTTGGTTGACTGGTTCTGAAATTGTGCCTATATGGCTCTGGTATCCCGCCGATATGATAAATAGCTTGCAAGGTCTCATCATTTTCATTATATTTGTGTGTAGAAAGAAGGTCAAGCAAATGCTACTAAAACGATTTGGCGGGCAGAGTTGTGGTCCATTTAAGATTCCATTGAGCGATAGCGTAACTTCGAATACTACATCCACTACTACGACTGGATCGGGAACAATCCCCATGCAACAAATCGGTCCCTCTAATTAACAACTATCACATTTCGCAAAGTTCAATTAGTCTTATTTATAATATACATTAAGGTAACCAACCGTTCAAAATAAAACACACGATCCTTGTTTGTCCGTTGAATTACTAGCTGGATAAGAATCTTGCCACCGCACAGCTGCTGTGCTGACAGTGCCAACATCACAGCCAATATGATGGCAAGATACTTATAGGATCCAGCAAGAATATCATATACCGTTTTAGGATAGTCTGTTTCAAATTTTACCTCAAATTATTAAGGACATAATTATGAATAGTCTTGCATTTTTTAAGGGTGAAAATAATGAAATATGATATAATAAGTAAAAATATACTAAATATGAAATATAATTTTCAACTGACATGTAATATTTTTTAAATTTTGTTAAAGAAATTGAAGTGACTGACTCTATTTTCGCAGTGCGTGTTTATACTTATTAATTGCAGTATTTTCCAAACTACACAAATAATTACTACCATATAATCAAACATACAAATAGTATAATTAGTAATTACAGATTCAATACAAACTATCGCATGGGCAGTTTTATACACAGTTATGCTTTTAGTTAAAACAAGTTGACATGAATAATATAAGTTATTCAATCTAAGTAATAATAATAAAGTGCGTATCTTATAAAAACAATCAATTAATCAATCGCATACACCAACCTTTGTGTACAGCGCAACTTATCTGTAAAAATATAAATGCAAAACAATTCTCACCTGTGAGCTCACCGGAGATCGCGGGAAAAAGAAAAGAACAAAAAACAATTCGGAATATTCGCAATTCGCTGTTCGCGCATGCTAATGAAATTTAACTATTTACTACGTGCATATATCAAACTTGGAACGCAATTATTTTCAACAAATGTTTTATTTAAAAACCTATACCTTATTCATAAAATACATTCAGAAAAAAAGTATAATTTTAAAAAATAAAATGTGATCTCGTAACTTGATATAATATTTGTTGTAATCTCATGTAATGTTATATATGAAATGTTATTAATTATTTACAAATGTATAGTATAATCTTGTTCCATTAACAATTCTCATTGTATGAGTCTGCGTGTAAACAAGGATGTATTAATTTTGCACTTACCATTTTCAATATCGACATTTCCTTTTCCGTAAGTTCTTTCCATTTTAAATTTTACCCATTTTCTGTAGGGAGAAGTTAAAAAAAGATTTTTAATTCAACTTTTTTTTTTTCGATGATCATTTTTACAAATTTTTAATTGACACATACTCATTTTGATCTCTCGAGCTGTTGCTTTCAAACTGTCGCGGTGCAAATGTTTAGATAGATTTCAGTGTCCGCGGACCGCGCCATGTCTGCGCAGAACCATATGAATCACATGACATTTCATGCTGCTGCGCATGAAAAGTCAGCTTAACACTACACAATTGTCTCTTCAGCAATATTGAAAGTTTTTATTGTTACAATTATGTAATAATAAACATGTGCTAATGATAAGAATCATGTTAGCACATGAAAATGTTTGTGAGTACGAAATTATATTATCTGAAAATTTGCGGAATATTTCCCTGTTTACATTTATTATAACCAGTTACGCCTAGGTTAGGTTATTTTCCTGTATTATAAGTTTTATTTTGCATCTAGGTCGAAGGAAATAAGCAATTAATTAAAATTAATCATGTTATTTATTATTCGTCAATTAAGAAACTGTCGGCACGTGTCATGCAGTTTTGTGCCAAAATTTTCTGTAATCATGGTTCGTAAGCATTGATAAAATTTGCTCATATACTGCTCTGTAGGAGTGTATTTTCATAAGAAGAAAAAAGAAATGAAACTTTAATTCCAGTGCTCCGGTTTTCCAAGACAAAAGTCAACAAAAACTGGAAGTATGGAAGAACAAACACAAACTGTGAAAGGTAGTCACAAACGAATTGGTCTTACTACTCTAGTTTCTTTACCTGAGAAAAATGTTGCATATAGAACTGAAAAAGAATCATGTAAAATAGAAAAGTCAGAATGGACACCTTTAATAACTGATTATACTAAGCTTCACAAGTATTATCTCAAATTATCAAAGATTAAATTGACATGTAAGTATATTAGTTTTTTATACAAACACAAATACATTAGACTAATTAATTAAACTATAGTTAATTATATTTATGAAAAACAAATTGCTTAATTAAAACATTTGATACATTGCGAACTGATTCATAAGCACTTTAATATATTTAATTTACTAAACTGAAAAATTTTTTTTATACAGCTCTTGTTGTAGCAACAACTATGGCTGGATATGCTCTAGCTCCTGCACCATTTGACCTTTATACATTTGCAATGTGTTCTTTAGGCACAGGCTTAGTCTCTGCTACTGCAAATACAATTAATCAGTTTTTTGAAGTTCCTTTTGATGCACAGATGTCACGAACAAAAAATCGGATATTAGTACGTGGTCATTTAACGTGAGTTTAAAAAACTTTTTTATTTCGATATAATTAGATTTATGTGACTTGATATTACATATAATGATAATTGTATATATACATATACATCAGGCCTGTTCATGCAATAGCATTTGCAGCAGTATCTGGTATTATTGGATTGTCCATACTTTACCATGAAGTTAATGGTATCACGGCAATGCTAGGTGCTAGCAATCTTATTTTATATACGCTTGTATATACTCCCATGAAACGCATTAGTATTGCCAATACGTGGATTGGCTCTGTTGGTGAGTATATATCATTCATGTGTATCGTAACATAACTTTTGCATTATAATTCTTTTGCAGTAGGAGCTATTCCCCCTCTTATGGGTTGGACAGGTTGTTGTGGCAATATACTGACTCCAGGTGCTTGGATCTTGCCTGGTATTTTATATGCATGGCAATTTCCACACTTCAATGCTCTTTCATGGAACTTGAGACCAGATTATTCACGAGCTGGCTATCGTATGATGGCTGTTGTGAATCCAGATTTGTGTCGTAGGACAACTGTGAGATATACAGTAATTTTAATGACTCTATGTTATTTAGCTCCTGCATTGGATGTAACCTATTGGTGGTTTGCACTGGCTTCGACGCCACTCAATGCATTTTTTCTATATCTAGGTAAAATATCTTTTGTTATATATACATACATATATTTTTAATTATATAAAATTTATGTATGGTGTATGTAATTTACATATACAATTATATTTAAAAATTAAAACCAAATTTTTACAGTGTATTAAAAGAAGAGTAAAAAGAGAAATAGTTTATCTAATTAAATCTATTATATTTTTGAAAGTTATAAAGAAGTTAATATTTAATTAGTAAAACTTCTTATATGGCTTTATAGCTCTTTGGATAAATTACTGCTCAAAACACGATTTTCACATTTTAATATGCTGTATAAATTTGACCTTAATCTTTTTAGATATTTTGTATATATATCTATGCACGTTTCAGAATTTGTTTTTATCTTTCCACAATTTTAGCTTGGACATTTAATAAGCAATCGGATAGCGCAAATTCTAGAAAATTATTTCGATTTTCGTTACTTCACCTACCTCTGTTGATGATGCTAATATTGTCAAGTAAAAAGTATTGGGCCAACGCAAACAAACAGGAAGATAAAGTCGAATCTTCTCATAACGAATCAACAAAGAAGAATGATTTATTGACTATATTTACAGCACCTATCGCTACTTCTTCTGTATAGTTTTATTCAGTTAGACGTGCCACAGTAATAGTACAAATTATTACAATATCGTCATAAATTTAATGTAGAAGACTTTAAGACTTTTACATTACTTCATTAACTTTTCAAAATATGATATTGTGTAAAATAAACTGTAGATACATTCTGGATCTGTAGTGTCTGGCATAAATGTAAAAAATAAATATAATACTAGGTATCCTCACAGAAAATAGTAATAAAATTTAGAAACAGTTAAAATATTATATACATTTATACATCTAGTTTTATTTAAAATATTTTAATACACAGTGTCATGTTATATTTTCAACTTCCTTGCGCTTTGCCTCGAATTCTTTTGCCATCTGTCTTCTAGTTTTAGTTAGATTTCTGTGACCAGCACAGTCTAAATTTTCTATATAACATTTGTTTCTGCAGCATTGACGACATAATTTATATTCACATTTAAAACCCTACAATTTAAAATAACGCTAATTTAGAATTTTTTCTCTTCAAAGTATTCCTATTTTTCTTATTTTTATCTTTTTTTTTTTTTTTTGGTAATTTGTTAAAGAACCAGATAATAAAAGAGGTTCATATTTTGAAAATATTCCAACTAACCAGAGGATTTGGACAAGCATGACACCGATCTGAATTTCTTTTGGAAATCGAAGTTGCTCTATTTGGTCTACGCGCTATCCTCTTAAGTTTTTTTGAACGTTTTCGTGATATTTCGTTTCCTTCCTCGTCTCTGTATTCACGTTTCCGAGATATACCTTCCTAAAAATTATCATTTTGAAAGAACGTTTCTTTAATTATAATGTCACAGATCAATAATAAACGCAATTAATCATACTTGACTCAGCTACCTGTAATTTTTGTGTGTACTCTTGGGGTGGTTCTCGTACGTAAGGTTGACACAACCACGGTGGCAACTCTAAATTATAATCTAAAAATATCAAAAAACATTTAATTTGGACATGTAACAAATGCAAATAATTTATAGATGTCAAGTTATTACCTGTCTTTCCTGTCTGCCATATCAAATGTCCTTCATGATACGGTAGATAACGATCCCTCAAGGCATACGTGACACTTTTAAAAGCTTCTAAAGTGGAGTTAGTGGCCAAGTTTTCTCTTTCTTCTTGATTTTCTGCTAAACAAAATCTACTCTCTAGTTAAAAGCATGCTGTACGATAAGCGTACGTTTGGGAATTATGTTTTGCTATTTATAAGTCGACATGATCGAAAAATCAATACATACACATGATGGAAAAGTTTGAATAAATGACCACGGATGTACGATGCTGGTACTGGATATTGCTCTACAAGTTCCAGATATTCTAAAGCAGGTTCCCAACAGGCTGGATAACGAGACTCAAATATATATGGATTATAAAGATTCCCTTCCGCTGACATCACACCTTGCACTTGAATTTCCTCAATGCACCGTTGTATGTCCTGCATACATTGTATGTTGCCATTGGCGATCACAGGAATTTTCACGGCCTCTCTGAGATAAAACAACATATCAATTATTAAAAACGAGTAGCACAAAATGCAGAGATGTGTGACTGTAATCATCGATTATATAATGAATGCTTCAAGTAAAATGGAAAATAGGTACAAATAGTTACCTTACTGCTTTAATGTGCTTCCAAGATGCTAATCCAGTTAATGGGCCCTTTTGTTCTCTTGTACGTCCGTGGACAGTGAGTAAACTAGCACCTGCATTCTCTAGCATACAAGCATATTGTACGGTACGACTGATTTCTGAGAACACCCGTAATTTACAAGTGATAGGTATGCGTAATCCATTCTTTAACGTCGACACTATACATACATATGAGATTTATTACGTTATGTCGTTATTAAAATCTAAAATCTGTTCAAGTCTATAAGTAAAACACACGCATACCGATTTTTTTTAACAAATTCCAATCATCTTGTAAGAAAGCTCCGTAATGTCCTCGCTTTGCAATTGCTTGAGGACAACCAATATTGATATCAATTGCGTCACAATATGGTTCAGCCCAGCGTGCAGCTTCCAATAATATATTTGGATCACTGCCACAAAACTGGAAAACGAATTACTGTTGCACAAATTTAATGTCAAATATTCTTCTCTCTTTCATTCTGTTGCGCATTTAAAATATTTACTTATAAGAAAATGTTCGTGAAAGATTATTTAAAACATCTATTAAATCTTGGATTGAGCGCATTATTTCTGTCACACGTTTGGTCACATATTTGAGATTTTGAGAAATTCTAAGTATCCTTTGCACTTTCAAATTTTGTTCTTTTGTTAAATGTTCCTTTGTATATAATCCCGAAAAACGTCATGTAACTAGCCGGAGACTAATAGTCTTATAGTCTATAAAATTGGAATCCTATAGTTGTGTCAAGCAGACCTGTACAATCAGTGGACGATCTTCGCTAGTACTGGCGAGAGCTTCTCGCCTGTATTTGGGATCTCGACAGAACACTGAAGAGTGTAGCATTGGTGTGTAACAGAGCTGGGCGCCATGTCGCCTGCTGAGCAATCTCCATGCCAATTCGCTCGCATCCACCATTGGCGCGACTATGTAACGTGGTGAACCTAAACTTTCCCAAACGTTAGTCCTCTTCCTCGAGACAGCATCCTCTTTGTCAGGTGACTCCACAGTGTCGGACATTATCTGTGCGTATGAAGGTCGCGTGAGCGATGCTATTATTTGCGACTACGCAAGGCTCGGAGCTAAGTTATACATTTAGCTTTTTTCCCCCAGAGGGTGTAAGGAAATTTTCGAGGAAACTTGTCACGATGCAATAATGTCACTTGCAGGCATTACAAATTCATTAAAGTGACACTGATTGTGCCATATCGGTACAAACTGGCGTTTCTACGTCTTGGAACTACTATTATAATCGCGTCGTACTACTTGGTATTATGTTTGGCCGATTGTTAAAATGGCCAATTTCTATAAAATTAAACATTTTTTTTATTTATGCTAACCGTATTTGATCGTAGCTGATATTTTTTGCAAATAATCTTTCTTACGAGACAAAGTATTTGTATTAGTATAATTGGTTGGGTACACATTGCAATTACAGGATGTTCTCGGATGTTTTCGTCATAAAAAATTATGAAAAGCTTCATTAAATGAATTTTGAATTGATATTGAACAAAAATTTAATTATTTATTTTATCTTTAAACGATGACACATCATATAGGTATATGAGTCTGATCATATATTTGATTTCTTCACAAGAAGAAATCAAATTTTATTTCAAAGACATTGTCTATAGAGTTTGCACCAAATTAAAATATTTAAAATTTTACGTATTTTATCAAAATATTATACAAGTTTGATTATAATAATATTAAATATTATTAAAAAAAAAAAACAGACTCATATATCGAGTATGTTTGATTGTGAGAAGGATTCTTGTCGAACGTCAAGATATTGGGCTTTAAATTTCTATAAAAAAAAAACAACATCTCGGTGCCGATAACGTTACTCGTGTAATGGTGGAAAGGCGAATATAGAAGCCGATCGCGACGGTGATCTCGGTGTAGCCGGTTTTGAAAGTTCGGACTCCGGTATGGGCGACAGTTGAGCGGTCTGCGTTAAATGCGAGCCGATCTTGAAATGCGGTCTCTTCTTGGAAAAACTCCCGCTCCGCCGTGTGCGGAGGAGGTGAGTTTGATTTCGTTTAGATATCGCGGAAGGTGGCATCTGCCCCAGGACGGAAATATCAGTGGTACTCGAAGGTACTTTTCTAATTTTGCGAACGGTGCGCGAAAAATCTAGGGCGGGTAGCTTCGTCGGTGGACGTGGATAATCCGGTGGAGTTGTCAACTCCGTCGGTTCGACAGCATTCCGATCTTGACGTTCGGTTAAGGCAAGTGCGACGTCCGGAGGACTGCCTGCCTGCGGAATGATCTTGTTGCCGCAATGACGAGCGATCGCCGACGACGAAGTCAACCGTTGTCTCGAACCTTTCCTCAGACGAGACTGCAGAAAAGTCTGTATTCTTCTCATCGTTCCGCAGGAGCGTTTCGTGGGCTCGATCCTATGTTCTCCGGTGCGATGTTTTCGTCCGGTTCCTGAATCGTGCCTGTTGCCATCGGGATGATTCATGATGGAGAAGCAACAAGATACCGGCGAAGGTGTGGAGGATGATTTGGTATCCGGCGAATCACTGTGGTTTCTCAACTCCACGTCCGTCGCTTGAGAGGAAGAGACTTGAATGGAGGTCTCGGTGGTGCGCAAATCGTATGAGAAACAAAGACGAAAATTCCGGCCACCTCTCATCGAAGGCAACGTCTTGGAGGCGATATCTTTAACGTTCGCCGTTGCTTCCTCGCTCCGAGTTCCCTCGTGCGTCGAGCAAACGTACACGTCCGTTGTCATCATTCTCGTACTAGTTTTGAGTACAGGACCGTTGTCGCAGAAGCGAGAATAGAGACTACGCGCGCCAGGTACCATTCGGTCCATATGATCCTCCCCATCGGCAGCGGTGCAATAAGGTATACCACACAGGCCAGAGGTGGACGTTGTTCTAGAGTCGGTAGTAGTGATGGCGATGTCTCTCTCCCGCTTGTTGCGCACGTATTCGTACGTGGTGAGACCGAGACAGGCGATATAGCCGTGAAAGAAGCAGAGGTGTATAAGCATCACCGCGGCGATGGCCGAGAGAACGCCAATGACGGTGACGAGGACGAGGGAGCCGGTGCCGGGCACCGGCAACAACGGTGGGGTCGCCGTGGCGTTGTTCATGCTCGTGTTACCTGCACCATAGTCCCATGTAGACGATCTGTTGTTGACGAGGAAGGGTGTGTTAACGAGCACCAGTTCGCCGAGGGCGAGCGCGGTGACCGCGAGCGCGGCGACGAGCGTCGACGACAGGCACACCAGGAACGCCAGATAATTACGGCCGCCGATGCAATTGTTCAACCACTTGCAGTGATGGTCGAAATGCGGCACGCACTTGTTGCAAATAGAGCAGTGCTTGGTCCGCTGACCACGCGTCGTTATGTTACAAAGATGACATCGGCTGTTCTCGATGACGTGCCGATGCTTCGTTCGATCGAATTCCGGTACGATCACGCGAGCTGGTCGAGCGCGGATCTCGGAATCGGCCGGATCTAGCAGCAACACCGTCAAATGAGTCGACACGTGCAGCAGGAACAACGCAGCGAACAGTAACGAGAGGATGAAGCGCAGATCGGGCAACAACGGCGGCGTCGTCAGCAGCACGGTGAAAGTGCCGATGAACACGACAATCAGCAGCACCCAACCGACAATCTGCTGAGGGTGTAGCGGCAGCTGCAGCCCGTGAATGCGCCGGAATTTCCTGTGCTCCGGTGGCACGTCCAGCGTGTCCTGCGAGGAACAGCATCGGACAATCGCATTATTTGCATAGCTCTCGTTTAGCATTCCCGGTATATCTTGACTGTTCCCGGTTCTTTCTTGACTATTATTTCGTTTACGTTTCCAGCGCGCTTTCGACCGATGTTCGATGCATCGTCCTTTTCCTTCAATTCTCTTCGTCTCCTATCTCTTACCGCTGTATTATACTATACATCTCTCTTCAATGCCTGTTATTCAATTTTTCCTATTAAATATTATTTCATTAACTGCCAATGCGTAATTTTAAGAAAGATTTTAAGCCAAACTTATTTAAGCTATATTTACTTTTAAGATTAATATCTGCCGGGACTCTCTCATGTATTTTATATATTTCTTCTTTTTTTTTTTAAAGCTTGACTCTTCCAGTACGAAGATTCTTGTTTCGCTTTCTCCCTCTTTTTCCTCCTTGTCGTTTGCTTCATTTCTTTACTTTGATGATCATCTTAAAAACATGACAGTCTCTCATCACGCAACCGATTCTCCGAAAAGGCATATCAATTCCTTCCTCGCTTTGTACCTACAAACTCCCAGTTTACACCCGCGTTCGATCTATACAGTTCAAATATATAAGTGACTGTCTTCGCGATTTAGAAAAGCACGATATGTCATTAGGTTTCCGCGCGACACAACGTTATTCTTCCTCTGACGACGTGACCTCGATCAAGTTTTTCCTCTTCTCGCGTTTTCTTCGTCGTTCCATCGCGCAACACACTCGTGAACGACCTCGAACGGATCCTCGTCATTTTACGAATCGCCTCGAGGAACTTGCCGTTCGTGACACTACTTGGGAGGGGAACTACTCGAACTGGCCGCGAGCGGAACTCGGGGCACAACTTGCTACAGCTGCAGTGGCTACTCGCCGGCGACGCCTAAGCGAATCGATAAATCGCGGTTGCCGCGGAAACCGGTACTTCGCTTGGAGAACATTTGAGAACTCGCGCACGCATCAGCACGCATGCGACGGAACAATGCGAGCACGCGCACACTCGTGCTCCTGGGAAACTTCCACCGGATACACCTAACAGGCGAAAACCGACGATATGTATCAGTCGATGAACACAAATCGAAACGTTTACACCCAATTTTTTTTGCATAATAATTCTGATCTCTATTAAGACGTGCGTTTTATCATTAGACGCTATTTTTCACGAGTGATAATTCAAGTGTAACCTAACCTAACTAAATTTTACGCGTTAAAAAATATTGGCGCAATTACTATCAGATATAATTGTCAGAAAGTATTTTGTACGACATTCCAATAAAATACCTATGATCCTACCTACGCGGTTATATAAATAATAAATTTAACGTAAGTATAAAAGAAAATCTTACTAACCTCACTTTGTGTAGCTCAATCTGTTCAGCAGATGGAATGAATGTACCCACGTGAATTTATTAATATCCCTCGAATCGGTCAGTTTTAAATATCGTTTAATATTGCATTATATACGTCATTCGATTTTCTTTCAATATTCTCAATCACGTCCTTTTGGATTCACCATGAAAACACTAAACTTTAATATAAAAAAAAAAAGACATCCTAATCAAACACGATCATTTGTCGTCCGCTGTGGTCTGCTCCGCTACAAGCATGTGAAACAACTTGAGAGATGCGCAGTAGCCAATTTGGTTATAGCCAATCAGAATTTGTCGAAGGCAAATATATAAGACGAAATTAGATTGGATAGAATTTAATGTAGGAGAAAATTTAATTTGCTAGCAAATTGCTTCGCGAATTGCCGTAAAATCAAAAAGAAGTACTAGTATTTCTTTTTGATTTTACTTAAGTTTAGCCAATGTGTCTGACTAGCGAAGCTTCTACCGGCCGTCACTAGGAGCGCCACAGAGAAATCTTTGCATCGCCAATTTTTTGATTGATTAATTAATACAATTCTTTCTTCCGATTGGTCAGTCAAAAATTTCGAAGCATTGTGGCGCAAAGTGGACCGCACCCATAAGCGCGCTTTTATTAATGAGATTGGTTGGATCTATAAGTAATAACCAATTACGTTCAATCGTTGCTTTTCCGTCTTAAACTCATCCATACTAAAAACGCGTTCTGAATACGGACCAATAACTTTTCATGCAGTATTCGACGCTTATTTTCAACTAACCAATCAAATGCTTGCCGCAAAGTTAAGCAAAATGTCTTGTACCTTTTCACAATTCGGACAACGTTTTGATTGGTCAATAAGCAGTCGCCATTTTCTAGAAGACTACGCATTCTCGGGAATGAAATATCTTGTAGCATTTTCGGCCCGATCGGGTTTGCATCGACTTGGAGAATGCTTTGCTATTGGTTGACGTTATTCGCTCTATCTTTTAGGAGGGCTGAAAACGGCATTAGATTCTTGATATCAATCTCGTATATAGGTAATACAGGTCACTCCGTGGTTCATGCTTTCATGCGTGTATTTGCGATTACATATGTAGACTCGTGTATCGCCGTTAAAATCTGGCGGCGAGTATTTTTTAGCTTTGTGTGCGATCGTTTTAAAAATCATTTTAAGTAAATACGATCAATTTATCGTTACGTCAGATTAGTTGGAGGTAAGTCCTCGTGAAATGCGTTTGGCGATTTTCACGTTTCTACATGTCCAGGACATGCTCTTATGTCACTCGAATTTTCTTCCCAGCTTCGAGAGTTCAATACATTGAAAAACCTGAATTTGCTCTTCTTAGTTAATTTGGAATCTTCTTGAATGTCAATTTGACCTACCTAGGATGGCGGGAGTATTCGATATTGAGTTGCATGACGGAGATGCTGCAAACCAGGATGAGTCAGATGACGATGTGATTGACAATAGAGAGGTAGAGTGTATTTGTCTGATGAGATATATGTTGTAAATCAACAGCAACATTGTTTAATTTGATCTCTTCTTTGTTCTTAGGAAGAGTATAATCATGCCGCAACTGTAAGCGCTATATTAGAGTAAGCATTTCATTCCTGAACTAAATTCTCTTTTTGCTATTGATCATTATTAAAGAATAGAAATATTGACTTACATTTTAGATCCGACAATTTGGAGAGGGTGCAATTGTCTGAACAAAATGTCAATCCTGGTCAAGAGAAGGCTGGTCCGCAAGATTTTGAATTGTGTAAGATTCTAGGAGAGGGTGGCTATGGAAAGGTCTTCCAGGTCAGAAAAGTTACTGGGAAGGATAAGGGTAGCATTTTTGCTATGAAAGTACTGCGCAAAGCATCCATTATACGAAATCAGAAAGATACCGCACATACCAAGGCCGAGAGGAATATTTTAGAAGCTGTTAAACATCCATTTATTGTAAATCTCATGTATGCCTTCCAAACTGGTGGTAAATTATATCTTATCTTGGAGTATCTATGCGGTGGAGAGCTTTTCACGTATCTCGATCGTGAGGGTATCTTCTTAGAAGATACAGCTTGCTTTTATTTGTCGGAAATTATACTAGCCCTGCAACATCTTCACAATCAGGGAATAATATATAGAGACTTGAAGCCAGAGAATATCTTGCTGGATGCAGAGGGTCATGTCAAATTGACAGATTTTGGCCTTTGCAAAGAACACATACAAGAGGGCACAGTGACACACACCTTTTGCGGAACGATAGAGTATATGGCTCCAGAGATTCTAACTAGGAGCGGTCATGGCAAAGCTGTAGATTGGTGGAGTTTAGGTGCTTTGATGTTTGACATGCTTACAGGAATGCCACCGTTCACCGGTGATGATCGAAGAAAAACTATTGAAAAGATCTTACGCGGAAAACTGAGTCTTCCACAGTATCTGACGGCAGATGCCCGAGATCTCATCCGAAAACTCTTAAAGAGACAAGTTGTCCAAAGATTGGGCTCAGGTCCAGAAGACGCGGAACAAATTAAAAATCACAATTTTTTCAAGCACATTAATTGGCAAGACGTGATCGCTCGGAAGTTGGATCCACCGTTCAAGCCATCCCTAAAGAGTGCCGACGACACGTCGCAATTCGACGAACAATTTACAGCGACTGTGCCAGTTGATTCACCGGTTGAGAGTACTCTCAGTGAATCTGCAAACATGATATTTCAGGGTTTCACGTATGTGGCGCCGAGCGTCCTGGAGGAGATGTATGTGCAGCCAAGAGTTGTCAATGCTAGAAGCCCGCGTAGAGGACTATTAAACAATACGGGTTTTGGCGCGGCAGCGAGCCTGCATGGTTTCTCCTCGCCTAGAACGATGGATGTTCATTTGCGCCCATCGTTAGATCTCCAACAACAACAACAACATAGGCAACATATGATGGGACCCAACAGCGTAGAGGATACTGAAATGGTTGATCTCGGTCAGTTATCAAACCGTTTATAGTGCCGCGATCCATTGCGCGTAAACTACTAGCTTCTTAATGCAAATTAGGGGACGAAAGGAACGTAGCCTATAAATCTGTTTGTATCGTTTCTTCTCACATTCATGTGCGACGACAAACAGAGTTATATCTAGCAAATTTAATATATTATGTATAGCAAAAAGCTATAAGCACAGTGAGTTTGTGATCAGTCTCCTTGATATCGCGATATTGCCTGCACCTGTGTGTGCAACTTAAACCTCTTCTTAAACCTTTAGCAATTTCAAAAGACAAGCAAACATTTGTTCGCAATGCGAGATAGCGAATAGTGTATGTCTTTTTGCTATGTAAATACGTGCGGATAATTGAAAGCAAGTACATACTTTACAAAATATTTATGAGCTGAATGCAGTTCACACAAATCTAAAGATTATATCACAATAGTAATACAGATATCACAATCATATCGCTGATTGTAAAGTAATTGATTAGCATTAAACTATTTCGAACAATACACATTGATTCATTTGACTGTAAATTAATGGACGCTTGAGAGAGAATGCTACAAAAAGAAATTTTTTTTCTCTCCTTTCCTTTCATAATTTATGCGATTCAATCTTTTATTTTTAAATCGTAGCAATCTTTTCTGTAATATTTTTTTCTTTTTAGTACTTTAGAAGATTGCAACCAGTATTTCAAGTCACTGTCCATTTCGAGTGAATATGTGCGGATTGAAATTACTTTCTAAACTATCAGAGAATTTCATTTTCCATGCAATAGTAATATCAAATATTGTATACATATGTATGTAAGAGACATGTTCTATTTTAATGCAGACTTATAAAAATAATTATACATTCCGGATATTATTCTGGATATTACGACGATGATTCGCACTTATATGAGATGGAACATCAAGAAATGTGAGTAAAAGTGAGTAGATCCACGATTGTCTAGTTCTATCAATAGTATTAGACAATTGATTCTATTGGCTGCATAGTTTATTTAATTATATGTGCAAAAAATCTGCCCGATAGAATCTGAAAGAAAAAACGAAATTTTTCTATTCTGTCATGCGCACGCGCGTGCGCGCGCTCTCACACACAAACACACACACACACACACACACGCATACACAGAGAGAATGAAACCAGTTTTAATGGTTCTATTTAGCGCAATAGTATGATGCACTTTAGTATAAAAATATGCGAAGTGTTTCAATAATATAATAAGTATATTCTCTTTTTAACTATCTATACATACATAGATATAAATATGTACAGGGCTGACCCTGTATTTGAAATACTTTTATTTAAAACACAATATTTGCAATACAAGTGTATCTTGTGTTTCAATGGATCACATAAGAAAGTATTACATATTTTGTATTAAAATTGAAAAAAATTGAAAATTTTTTGTATTTTATAATTCATATAATAAGATTGATTGTCAATCTTAGTATTTGAAATACAAAATGCAAAATATTTTCTCTAAAAAACATGCTCTACTGATATACAAAATACAGTTGTTTTTCAAATACATGCCTAGCTCTGTATATATATATATATATATATATGCATATATGTGTGT